AGCATCTGCACAGAAAGGGACAGCAGGACTGGAACCCAGCCCTTAGTAGAGAACGTCCTCGAAGCCGAGCAGCAGGAACCGGTGCAAGGCACTGGGCAGGTGCAGCTGAGACAGGACCAACAGCAACCGGCCCTCCAGGAAGGTCCTGAGTGCGCAGCGAGCCAGGTGCTGCAGGGAGCGAGGTCTCTGCTCCAGGGAGAAGAGTGACTGGTAGAAGCGTGGGTATTTCTACGGAGAGAGAGAAGAGAGGACCAGAGGCAGACAAAGCTGAAGATGTCACCCTGGGAGCAGAGGCAGAACCAGAACCAGTCGTCCCTTTACCGTAGTCACTGTGGTGCATCTTCCCCATTCCCCGGCCGCACCACCCTGTGCCCCCCGCTGCGGTCACCCGGCTGCAGGTTCTCCAGCCAGCGCATTCCCTCACCTGGACAACCTCCGCTGGAACGGCTTTCACCCAGTCCTGGGAGACGCGCACGTGGTCGTAGCTGTTCATCAGGGCCTCGATGACACGGGGACAGGCATGGCAGTACCGCAGCACCTGTGCTGGAGAGAGAGCCGGTGAACACCGCCTTCGGGCAGGGTCCTGCACACCCCACCCTCGCCTCCTAAAATGCTGCTCAGCAACAGCCTTGGTCAGTCCCGGGAACTGACATCCCTCCCTCGTGCTGTCCCAGTGGATCAAACCCACCCAACGGTGGGAAATGCCAGAGCACCGCTCCTGCGAAGAGGGTGATGGAGCCAACACCCAACACGCCCATTCAGCACAGCCAGGTCCCCACAGCCCCTCCGGAGATGCAGGGACCGAGATGCGTGGCTGGGATGCAGATTTCCTTCATCTGCCTCGCTGCTGCAAGGAGCTCGTGAGCAACCACCGCTCTGCTTTACGCCAGGCTCCTGTCTTCACATTTCTCTCGTTAGAGCACGAGCCGTTCTGGGGCAAGGACTGGCACCCCTTTTGTGTGTAGCGAGACCAAGGCACACCGTGCCCCCGGAGGGCTGCACAGGGCTCTCGGGGATGTTACAGTGCCCGTTCGGCACGGGGCTGCAGAGACACCCTGTATCCGTGCGCAATGGGCAGCCAAAGGAGCGCGGTGCCCGCGTGAGCGGCTACGCAGAGCCCCGGGGAGACATCACACGTTTTGTGCAACACATCTCTGGTGTGCGCCACATCCACGTGGGTGCAAGCGATGCACTGGTGCTGTGTTGCTTACAGCACCGGCACGGCCTCTGGAGCCCACCCACGCGCAGCTGCACAGAGGCAGAGCACCCCGGCTCCTGGCTCCCGCTCCCCACGGCTCCTGGCGCCCACTCCCTGCGGCCGGGCCAGCCTGCTGTCAGAGTCTATTCTGGCTGTAGAGTGATCCTCATTATCTGGCGTTAATAGGAGATTAATTAGTGTTAATTGTTGATTTTCCTGTATTTTCCCAAAGGGGAGAGCAATCTGCTGATCTCCGGGCTGGGTAATTATTGCACTGCTCAGGAATTAAGACAGGAAATTAACCCTTCATTTGCTGGTGCCTTGCAGAGACAGCCTGAGCTGCAGGATATGTCCCGAGGAGAAAACACATCCCCTGGGAGGAGAAGGGCCACCACTTTCCAGGGCAAGTGGTTGTGGAAACTGGGTAAGTACTGTCCACACTGCTTAGCAGATAGAAGCAAGAGAGTCCTGCAGGAGAATATATCAGAGAAAACTTCAGGGAATCCCTTACCAGTAGTGCCAGTTCCCCCCCCGCCTGCCCCTGGGCAGAGACAGGCAGGACAGCAAGCGGGCTGGTGCAGGACAAGCCCTGCTGTGACAGAAGCATCCCAGCTTTCCTGGGGCCCTGACGGTCACAGCCCTCTTCCCCCCACGCTCCCAGCACACCGAGAGTCCCGCACCTTGAGCAGGGAGCCGGGCCAGATGCGGACGGAGCCGTAGTTGAGCAGGGCTTGCACCACCAGCTCCGGGCGGTGCTCCAGCTTGTAGGCGGTCGCTTGCAGGATGTTGTGCAGCGCTGTGTTGCCGCTGTAGTTCATGACGTTGACGTTTGCACCCCGGGCCAGCAGCAACTCTGCTACTTGAGCGTTGGCATTCTTGCAGGCCAGGTGGAGCGGGTGCTGGTGGTCCCTGTCCGCAGCGTTGATGCTGGCGCCGCTCTCCACCAGCAGCTGGCAGACGTGGTAGTAGCGGTCCATGTCCTGGGGCTGGTGGGGCTGAGCACAGGCAGCGTTCAGGGGCGTCTGCCCCTCCTCGTTCTCTGCCTCCAGCTCTGCCCCGTGGCGCAGGAGCAGCTGGACGTGCTCTGTCAGGCCGTGCCGGGCTGCGACATGCAGGGCTGTGTCGTCTTCCTCCTCTGTCCGACTGTTCACGCTGGCGCCATGCTGCAGCAGCTGCTGGGCACACCTGCGGGGGCCAAGGTGACTCAGTGACGGGCTGTCCTCTCCAGCTCCTATCCTACCTCCCACCCCTCTGCCCCCCGTGTCTGTACCGTCCCATGGCTTCCACTCTTCCCAAGAGTCAAAAAATCCCTGCTCCTCATGCCCTTGATCAGTGGTATTAAGCCAGGATGACTGGTGGGCAGAGATATTGTCACCCTAACTCTGGCTAACTCTCCACAGATCTTTAATAAGGTGTCATCACACCCAGAGCCTGCTCCCACGCACCCATGGGGGCTGCACAGCACGTGCCCTGAGCTTCCCAGTGTGAACCATCAGCTCTGTGCTGCTGCTGGGCAGCAAGGCAGCAGCAACAAGCTCAGCGGCATTGGCTGAGGACTAGAGCCTGCAGTCATCCACTGGGCGGCAGAGGTGGTCCTGGCCAGGAGCAGGCAGCAAGACCACCCCATTTCACAGCCATTGCTGCACCCACCAGCCACCCGCAGGGACAAGCAGGGACCCCTTCCACACAGGGTGAGGCTCAAGGGGGAGGGAAACCCACTGTGCCCCCCGGGTGGAACTCACTCGATGGAGTCTGGGCTCTTGCAGAGGTGCAGGGGCTTGTAGCCATCCTCGGAGACAGCCTCGGGGTCAGCACCGAAGCCGAG